GTGTGTGTATGTGTGTGTATGTATGTATGTATGTAGATATATATGTGTATATATATATATATATGTATGTATGTATATATATATGTATGTATGTATAAATGTATATATATATATATATATATGTATATATATATATATGTGTGTGTGTGTGTGTGTGTGTGTGTGTGTGTACGCATTTGTATATGTATTTTCCTTGTACATATACATATAACTATAAATTGATAAGAACTATTTTTGCTTCTATGATTATGGTTAGATGTCCAAAGAAGCAAAACGTTCATGAATCGACACTCACTCCTGTTCTATTTATATTATTCTATAAATAGAATACAACTCGCCGCAAGGCTCGCCCCTGATTGGTAAGAAGGTGCACCGCCACAACAGTCACCAGTTTGTAGTAACGACATTCCACAAGCCAGCCTACTGCCATCACTGCTCTAATCTGCTGTGGGGCATTACGTCCCAGGGCTACAAGTGTGTAGGTAGGTGATTGTAAACACGGAGTGTTTAGGTGTGTCAATATAAACACGGCAAGTGTGTAGGTAAGTCATTGTAAACACGGCAAGTGTGTAGGTAAGTCCTTGTAAACACGGCAAGTGTGTAGGTAAGTCATTGTGAAGATGGCAAGTGTGTAGGTGAGTCATTGTAAACACGGCAAGTGTGTAGGTAAGTCATTGTAAACACGGCAAGTGTGTAGGTAAGTCATTGTAAACACGGCAAGTGTGTAGGTAAGTCATTGTATACACGGCAAGTGTGTAGGTATGTCATTGTGAAAATGGCAAGTGTGTAGGTAAGTCATTGTAAACACGGCAAGTGTGTAGGTAAGTGATTTCGTATATCCAAAAAAGGGTTTTAAACCCCATAACTATGATAAGTATAGGCAGTACTCTCGCAAGCATGTGTTCACCTGTATATGTATCTACACTTGAGCGTTCATGGATTCATATACTAACTACCCTGTACTCGAAACTCGAAACCCTAAACCCTAAACCCCAAACCCATATAGCCCTACCTAAACTCCAAACCTCTAAAAATCAATATAACCCTTCCTAACCCCTTAAACCCACATAAACCCTAAACCCACATAAACCCTAAACCCCTAAACTCACACAAACCCAAACCCCCTAACCCTAAACCCTACCCCCACCCCCCCTAGGATGCTCTGCGTTGTGCCATAAGAAGTCGAGTTGTGTGCAAGGGATCTTCCAGTGCTCCAACGACTCTTCTACTCTGCCCTCCATTGACGGCCGCAAGTCCGCGAAAGGCAGTCCAAAAGCGCTCAAGCGGGCGACCTACTTCGGAGCCAGGTGTGTGGTAGTGGACAATTAAACAGGACTCATCCGCGTTGTGTTGTTGGAACTGAGGGCAACAGCGATGTGTCTCACTGGACACCTCGACCGGATTGGATAGAGTGTAGTCTAAAAATAGAACTTTTTATTTATTTATTCGTCAGTTGGGATTCTTGGGTTTTCAATATTTCTGGTAATGTCTGCTATTTCAGATCCAGTTTAGTGACAGTGGTCGAACTATAACCCGAATTGGTTTTGCTAAACATGAGCAACTTCACATACATCGGCCTATCTGTATGCTCACGTACCACATACATCCTTATACACATATACATATATACACTTTTACATCCACGTACACATAGCATATGCATCGACTCGTACATAAACATTCGCTTACACATACACATACACATACACATGCACATATACCTATACCTATACCTATACATACACATACACATACACATATACATACAAATACACATACTCACACTCATACTCATATCATAATCTTAATCATACGCTTATACATACACATACACACAGTAACCGCAAGAAATCGTCGCTGGAGACAAAGATGAGCTCAGGCAGTCTGGAGTGCGGCATTGACAGATTAGGTCTGGTGCAGCCAATGGCTCAGTGTTCTATAAATAGCCACTGTTCTGCGAATAGCCGCTGTTCTATAAAAAGCCGCTGTTCTATAAATAGCCTAGGTGAGTCACCACAGGTGTCTCCACGGCCCAGACGGAACGTCTCAGTGCGCAGTGCAAAGATGGGATCACCCAACACCGGCAGAAAGAGCGTCATCAACACCAACGCCATCATCCCCTCCTTAGCAACGGTGTGTGTGTGAATGAGTCATCATCTCCTCCTTAGCAACGGCGTGTGTGTGAATGAGTCATCATCTCTCCTCAGCAACGGAGTGTATCAGAGTGGTCTGTGTGCGAAAAAGGCTCTTGTTTGGGACCACGCACCATTGTACTTGCACTCATTCTACGACTGTCACTATGTACACCACAGAATCAATACCAAGACAAAGGCACATGGTGTGAAGCAGCGACTGTTGAGATGATGGAGGGCATGACTAAGCAAGAGATCAAGCGACAGGAGGTCATCTACGGTATGATTCAGTATATAAAAAACATGCCGGAATAAGACCGTGGTATATGACGGAATAAGACTTCGAATTACCAAGCCAAGTACATCACAGAGTCTATCTTTGCATTTCATGATCACGCATAAGGGCAAGAGCAGATATGTTTGTATTTGTATATATGTATATATGTATACATATATATATATATATATATATATATATATATTATATTATTATTTATTATTTATATTAATATACATATATA